ATATATAGATTTAGAATTTAATTTTTAATCTCCATATATAAGAAAAACGAAAAGAAAACGAGTTGGTTTGGTTTTTTTATTACATAATCGAGAAGGAAAAAATTGAGCTAGTAATTTATAAATGAAAAGGGATTATATATTTGATTTATACAAAATTTTAATAATTTATTTCTTCATTTTCAATTTCAATGATTAAAATTTGTTACAATTTTTTAAGACAAAATATAATTTTTTTTAATAAATGTGTATCATTCTCAATTATTAAAAATAAAAATATAAATGATTAAGATTTTTTTTAATAAATGTGTATCATTCTCAATTATTAAAAGTAAAAATATAAATGATTAAGATTTTGTATAAATATAATGTGTAAAACTTATATATAAATAAATAATTTTTTTTATAAATAATTAATATATCTAAGATTTCAAATAATAATAATAATAACTAAGAATTGTTAAGCAGATTAAAAAAAAAACTACTATAATCGTTGATTAAAAGAGAGATAGGGGAGCTTACATGCTAACGACATGGGGGGTGGTGCCATTGGAACAGGTGATAGAATTTGCAAATCGATTGTTTGAAGGTAAAACCCATCCCGAGTCTCCACTACATGGATCTACACTGAAATCCCAATCCGTCTTCCTCAATTTCTTAGCTATGTCTTGCAAGGCTTCCACTGCGACTTACAATACAATCACTCAGAAAAGAAACAGGAAGAAGAAGAGATCACGTAACTAATTAACTGTAAATTAAAACAAGTTACTGTGTATATATATACATTCATCGTCAGGTAATGAGGCTGCGGCGAATGCAAAATTTGCAAGGAAAAAGGCGAAGAAAGAAGCGAGAAGAAGACGTGGAAATGAAATGGCTGGCATATCGAAGTTGGAGATTAACGGTAGAGAAATAGATTCAGCTGTTTGGTTGAGTCTATGCGGCGATGGAGAATAAATATATGGGCAAAAACAAAAATGAGTGCGCCTTGACTGGACAAACATCCGTTCGTCAATTTTTATTTTCTATTATTTATTGAGTGGTCCGTATACTTAATAATTTATTTTGCTTTAGGCTCTTATTTTTGTATGAAGAAGTCTCTCATTCGGTCAAGATGGCCAAGTGGTCTAACACGTCAGTCTCGAGTTCTGGTCTTTGAAAGAGGGAGTGGGGTTCAAATCCTACTTTTGACATTGAATTTAACTTAGTCTATTATTTTTTATAATTCAAGGTTTAATGTTTAGATTTCTTCGGGGTTTAGTGTTCGAAATGTTGAAATTTAGACTTTTTTGGGTTTGGGCTTGAGGTGTTACGATTTAATTTTGGCCAAACCCCCTATTTGCACCCTTCATTTATTTTTTTTTCGCGGTCAACACCTTTTAGAATTTTTCCTCCCTATTCACACCCTCAATTTTTTAAAACCCGTAAAAAACTCAACATTTTAACGTACCGTCATAGTACCGTTACAAAATGCACTACGTGGCACCCAAAAATTGACGTGGCCACTCTGTGCTGTTAGTAATCCAACGTGGAATATTTTCTTGATGATATGGCTTGACATGGAATATTTTTTTGTGAAAATTTCCCACCCAAAAAAAAAAGAAAAAAGAAAAAAGAAAAAATCATGGGTTCCTCCGGAAGAACCCAGTTCCTCACGACGAGGAACCCGATCTGGGTTCCTCCTCGGGTTCCTCGAGAGGAACTGGGTTCCTTCAGAGGAACCGGATCTGGGTTCCTCATGAGGAACCCATGAGGAACTGGGTTCCTCCGGAGGAACCTGATCTGGGTTCCTCCTGGGTTCCATGGGTTCCTCCCGAGGAACCCATGGAACCCATGATTTTTTCTTTTTCTTTTTATTTTTTTTTTGGTGGGAAATTTTCACAAAAAAATATTCTATGTCAAGCCAGATCATCAAAAAAAGGCATCCACATTGGATTATTAACGGCACAAAATGGCCACGTCACATTTTGTAACGGTACCGTGACGGCACGTTAAAATGTTGGGTTTTTTTACGGGTTTTGAAAAATTGAGGGTGTGAATAGGGAGGAAAAATTCTGAAAGGTGTTGATCGTGAAAAAAATAAATAAATAGAAGGTGCAAATAGGGGCTTTTGCCTTTAATTTTTAAGGTTAAAATGTTTAAAATGTTATTAGATTCTTTAAATTTTAATATTTAAGGGGTTAGTGTCTAGTTACTAGAGTATAGATTTAAAATTTTTAGAGTTTAGTATATAAGGGGTTTAAATTAATATTAGAAGGT